TGGTGATTCAAGACTTGTACTACAAAAAAAAAAAAAAAAAAAAAAGAAAGAAAACGGAGCATCGTAGGTTAAAAGAAAAATCATTCAAGAACAATAGAGTTAAATCGACGAGAGGACAAGGCGGAATAAATGGACTTCGCAGAAATCGACGATCGATGATCGATGACGGATCGATGATCGGAGCGCGATTATCCCGGCCTTTTCGGCTTAGCAGCGATTCCGATTTCGTGAGCGCCCCGGTAATAATGATTCACGGAACACCGCGGCCCATAGTAACGCGGGGCGCGACGAAATTATAATACGTGTACTATAATTATAGTGCGCAGTCAGCAAACGGCGGTGCTCCCACCGCGTGGCCGGGCGCCGTCCAATGCCGCAGTGAAAAGTGACGCTAGTCGCCAGCCTCTCCGAACGAGTGGTTACGCCCCGTGCAGGGTCAGACTCGCGGATCCGTGCCGCGAGTACCTAGTTATGTTTACGCGGCCAACGCGGCTGCCAGGCCGAGCGAGACGTCGTCGCCGAGCGCGAGCGTGTCCTGTCGCCCTGCCGAAATCAATCGCCACGCTGAGATCAGGGCCCGCGCCGCGGCGTGGCTCGGCTCTTATCAACACGATTAGCGAATATATAACGACGCTCTCGTACGAACTACGTTGTCGCGGTCGCACCGCGTGCATTTTCCTACGCGTCGCGTTACGTGACTCTCGCACGTACGCCGATCACGAATGTGTACGGCGAGGAGGCGTCCGGTGTCGAGAGAGAGAGAGAGCGAGCGAGGAACTCGGAGAACTGTGTGAGACTCGGAGTTGCGCGACTACACTGACTACATCCAGAATTCCAGGATATTATATCTCTCTCTTTTTCTCAGATTTTCCGTCCCCGAAATTCGCGAGAACGAAATACGTCGTGTGTGGGCATGCTATAGCTATAGATTCTATATAGCGTCAACGGAGACGTGCTCTCCGCGAGCTGACGCAGTACGCGGGAATTTTCAGAGTTCGGATGTGTTATCGTGCGACGCGTAACGTTCGATAGTAGTGTTATCAGTCGTTATTCGGCGCTCGTGTGGTCGCATCGCCGCTCAAGAGTATGTGCGACGCCTCTGACGCGAGTAGCGGCGAACTTTTTTTTTCGTCGTTCTGACGTATACGGCGTATGTAGCAGCGTCGTCAGTATTTTTTTTTTTTTTCTTTTAACGCGGGATAAGTCTCTTGTCCCTCAGCCACGTTGTTCCATGAGCGGCGACCGAACCGCATGTGGTCGGTAGTTTCTGCCGGTGGAAAGTGCGCGGTCACGTCGCAAGGATCCCAGAAGTGTTGATTTTGTTAGCCGAGACGCGTCGAGCATGTTAACTTCCATTAGCTGGCCATAATTAATATGCGCTAGCGCGAGAGGTAAAGCCGAGGTACCCTCGGTGACTATTGTGAAAGAGAGAAAGGAACATCTGGCGTAGCGGAGGTGCTAAACACTTGGCCGCGGCTCGAAGAGCGGTGAGCTCTCTTCGTCCACACGTTGCGGACTAACGTGTCAACGTTGCGAAGATCGCACGCGGGCTCGTAGATTGTACGAGAAACTGCGTTTGCGACGCGACGACGACGACGACGACGACGACGACGACGACGACGACGACGACGACGACGACGACGACGAGAGATTTTGCTTTCCGATGAATGCTCCCGTGATATTAGACAAAAATAGGAGCGACGCGAGCGCAATTATTTCAACGCAGTAAGATCGAAGAAGATCGAAGGAGAGGGCCTCTTTTCGCGAAAATCGTCGGGCTCTTCGATGAGCTTGAATGGCGACGATGGGAGTTATCGTATATATTCCAAGTAGGTAATTTCGTTTCACGATGCATTCTGGCTCATTTTGTAACATTCATGTTTGGTTTCACTTAAAAAGGCAGGTCATTAGTTTCCTTCTCATAAATTCTCCACAGTCATCCGAATTGTAAAGTATCATGTGTACTGTTCTACGATAAGGTGGGAAAAAAAAAAAAAAAACATCGATGTGACTTTTGAAGAGGATTTTTCGTATTTCCCTATCGCTTATCTGTCCCACGACAACATTCGCTCCAATATCCGGCCCGTAGAAATAAAAGATTGAAAATTGCAACGTCACTCGAATTTCCATGTTGCGATCAGCGTCGCATGTTTATCGACCCTGACTCGCGCGACCAGGAAGTCAGAAAAATGTGGATAGCGTCTCTCGATCGGTGCCTTATGAAAGAGATAGCACATGATATACATACGTATTTACATTGCCCGATCATACGATCTGCGTCATCGGTGCGATACGTCGCCGGCGACCTATATGATGGCTCGATTAGTTTGCACGCACCGCTAATGAAATCATCTCGGAATAATGAAATTAGAACGGCGCTCTAATAGGCTTAATTGAATAAAAATAAGTGTTATATAACGTGATATCAAATGCGCGGCTGATCCTTGAGAAGCACGCCTGACGACGTGATAACAGTATCGTTTGTGTCATGCTGAGTCATGATAATTCGGTATCTGATGCATATTCGCGCTAGCGGGTTAAATAAAAATAATGTTATATTATTTCACGTTTTACAAAGTAATACGATGGATTATGAGAAATATATGAATGTATAACAAAATGAAAGACAACAATGTTGAAGATTTTAATAAATATTTTTTAAGCTATATAAAGTGTTAAAGTATAAAAAGTATAAAAAAATATGAAATTTATATAAAATGTACACAATATACATTAATAAATTTATTCGTGACGAATAAAAATTTAATATATATATATATATATATATATATATAATTAAATAGAATGCAAGAGAAAAGGATAAAGAAAAAAAAAAGGAAATTATAAAGGTTGATAAAATCTACAATGTTGCGCGAATATAATTCTAGGAAGCTCACTCTTATCGCCTTATTTACAAAAGACGGAAATGAGAGTAATATCTCTTGTTAACATCTATCGTTTGAAAGCATGATAAGAACGATCTATCGTGTGTAATATTTGGTAATCAATGACAGATAATATTTCGTAATATCGTTGTTGCAAAGATATACTAAATTGATTAGGCTCATATATTCGTCTTAAATTGTTTTTAATATTTAACAATAAAAGAGATCTTAAGATTTCCTGAATGTTTCGTAAGTATGATATTGGAAAATTGTAGATTATATTTATATTTATATTTTCATTCATTTATATGAATACTTTTAGAAACCGTCATATAAAAAGTAATTGTAGCCGCGTAAGCAAGCTGAGAAAAGAATGCGGCGTATTTCCTTTCTCGTAACTAGTTGATAATAACGACTTAAACCTGGAACTAGTCACGTACAGTTGGATGGTACTCGGTCACGCTGACTGCTTCTGAGAACGTTGTATCAATCATATTGTACTCTACACGCGTATTCTGTGACGATTTAGGTATGCGCACGTGTAATACGGAAATGAAGAATTCCTTGAAAGAATCCTTGTTATTTGTCTTTGTTATGACTCGTATGAAAATTATACTTATGAATAAAGCGATTAGATATAAATATTTTCTGATGTTAAAAAGGTCATTTTCAGAACGCACATCCTAATGGTAATAGTAGTTGACTATGTGGAAATATTTAATTTATTCATTCATAAATGGGGTCGTGATAAGGTCTTGGATAGTATTGAATGGATAGTATTAAATTGAATTGTAGAAGAAGCTTGCCTCGTGCAATAATATAAATATAGCAAGAGAATTAAAGCTTTTGATATTGAAGATATTTCGAATATCTTTTTATCATCTGAAAATAATATTCTACTAAAGAGTTATATGTTTTCAGTCGTTGATAAATCTGTTTAATCGATTCTACTGATAATAGTCTCCAGAAATAATCACATGCGCAAAATTGACAAAACTTTATTGTATACATATCGGTCGATATGTATTAGTGGCAGAACTTTAGCTATATATAATCGATCATTTTATTTTAAAATAACTGTTCATAGGTTAGTGAAGAGCTTGCAAAAACTTTGTTTCTAGCAAATAACTGTGCAACAATATTTACAACAATGATAATCTGCTGATAAGGGGATTTAGGTATCAATGTATCTTCCCTATATATATTTGCACGCCTTTTTCTTGTCAGTCTTATCTTACACAATCGGTATGGACTTTAAATTCGATTGATATTAATAGGCACGTATTTGATCAATGATATATTTTTTATCTTGAATCATTAGATCTGTTAAGACGTAAATTCTTTTTGAGTCTAATAATAAATTTTATATATATATATATATATATATAAAGTTCATCATGAATAATATATATAATATATATAATATATATAATATATATAAATTTTTTGTGTATTAGAAAATGATAAAATTAGCATAAAATAAATAAAAATTATTACATACAAATATATAAATTACGCTAGAGAAGATGATTTATCATAATCAATAGTGAGATAATCTGTTATATGACAAGTTTCCTATTTTTCCTATTTTTTCTTGTTTTTTTCATTAAAGCGTAGATAGCGTACTGGTAGTCGTGAAACTTGTACATAGACGTTGTAAATAGACGTCCATGCAAAAACCGGTTGTAGCAAATGTCATGTTTGTGAAGAAGTTTGCTGTCGAAAGACCCGAATACCGACGTATCAGAAATTGCATTCGTTTGTTTGTAAAATGCTTTTTGTAGTCACGTTAAACTTGGCCCTGTTTGCAAGAGAATGTTACGTCCCCAAAGAATTTTCATGCCAGTTACAAACGACAGCCTATTTCGATATGCATATTATGCAAATATGCTTTTAGGATTATAGACGAAAAGCTACACTCACAGAGATAAGGAATGTTTATATCAGATAAAAAAAATGTAAACATTTGCTCCCGAAATCACCCACATTAATTGTAATTAATGTAAATAACATTATCGAGATAAATTTTCTAAAATATGTACTTTTAATGATGCTCATATATATTATTTATATAATATAATATGGATTAAAATTTTGTAATTTATTGTATTTCAGGCATGTACACCATGCGTATGTTGGACAATGGTAGCAATAATGCATCCGCACCGACCGGTGCAGCGGCCTTACCGGGTGTCCAGACGACCGGCGGTACAACTTCAACGGCTACGGGTGTCACAACTTTACCTGGTGTAACCGACGAAAGGATGGATGCGTCAAGTGACAGTGCTGTTAGTAGCATGGGCAGCGAACGTGTACCATCTTTGTCAGACGGCGAGTGGATGGAAACTGGATCCAATTCCAGCCATACTCAAGCTGATTCTCATTACACCATGGATTACGCGAGGTATAATTAATACCATAAGTCCGTTTTTCGCGATAAGGATTAGAAACAGGAAGAGACGAAGCTCCGTTTTCTTTTAATTGCAAATAATTACATGGAAAATAATCTATCACATAAAATGTCAGACTTCGTTAAAGCATAACAGTCTATCTTCAAACTACGGAATAATATTGATTATATCGTTTTAAATATTTTACGTGTATAAATTAAAAGATTTAATGCGTAATATATTTGTCAACGTTTATTGATCTTTTGATTGTATCACAGTAAATATCGCATGCCATACGACTGTAATTACTCGGTGTCTGGGAGAAATGCCGGTTCACCGAGATGCCAAACAGAAAGAGCAGTACCACCAGTCGCACAAAAGAAACATCAAATGTTCGCCAAGCGATATTTCCAAGAACAAGGCACTTGTTAGTATTTAGAAATAATTTTATGATTCCAATTTTGCCGCTATGAAACGACGTAATAAGAGAGATTTAATCTTTAAACGACTTTCTAGGCTCACCTTTAGGGGCTACTGCACATCCAACCACTCCAATGAAATATGATTATGACACGCATACAGTTGGAGCAGGTGCACCAGGAAATACATATTCTGGACCAATAGAAGGTGCAGCCGGGCCACAGCCTGAAATTAAATACAGTTGTAGCGTGGATTTCAGCCGTCATCAATCCGGTAAGAAAAAAATTTAGATATTATTTTTAATATATTAGAAATTAACAATTTCCATAATAAACTTAATAATTTATTTATAGATTATATTTTCATAAATAAAATAATAAATTTAATCTTTTCACTTAGGACGGTCGGCAATAGAACATGTTCATCACAATCACACTTATCATTTGCCTGCTGAGAGCTCAGGATCTCTTCAACGTCCTATTTCTCGCGACAAGAAAGGTATTTTTTATAATATATTTATATAATATTCTAATTGTTCTGATCTTTAAAGATTATCGATAAATCAAATAATTATCTACATCATTTACATAAATTTCAGTTCGCAAAAGCGAAGGGGAGGAACATCTAACGAGAGACGAGAAGAGAGCAAGAGCGCTAAATGTACCAATTGCAGTCAATGATATCATCAACCTTCCTATGGACGAGTTTAACGAACGTCTCAGTAAATATGATCTCAGTGAGGCCCAACTATCTCTAATACGCGACATTAGAAGACGAGGCAAAAATAAGGTTGCCGCACAAAATTGCCGCAAACGCAAATTGGATCAAATTATAAGCTTAGCTGACGAAGTAAAAGAGATGCGAGATCGTAAAATGAGGCTTATTCGCGAGCGCGAATTCATGCTCATCGAGAGACAGCGGGTCAAAGACAAATTTAGTCAACTTTACCGTCATGTTTTTCAGGTTGGTATTATTATTATTAGCTTTATTTTTTTGTATTGAAAAATTATTTTTAGAGAGAATAAATAAAATTTGAATAGTAGATAATTTACTTTATTTTATCTTTAATAAAAATATTAAAGATGATGAAGGAAATAATATTTAACAAATTATATTTTAGTCTTTACGAGATCCAGATGGTAATCAATACCATCCATATGAATACAGTCTTCAACAATCTGCAGATGGGAACGTTTTATTAGTTCCTAGAAATCAGACGAATCCGCATCAATCACGACAGTCTTCGATGGAGCCGAAGACCAAACCCGATTCTGAGCATAAAGAATGAACTGCAAGAATCGTACGCCAATGTGATTGATTATTGAAAAACTTTTGTTTTTCTTAGGCGCGTCCAAAGCGTAGTGAAAGCGAACACGGTGCTGGGGAGCGAACATCGTACGCGTTTTTAAACTTATTACGCATAATTCTTGTCAAAAGAGTAGAGTTCACGGTCTGAAACTTGACACACCTCGCACTGTGTTTAAATAAACAACGAAATTCGTCGAGGATACCAACTTAACCGCGAATACATGGTTTCCAGTAAATGACTTTTTAACATATTTAGAGATTTTAGTAGGAAGAAAGAAAGGATTTTTAATAATCCTAATGATGGTTTTTGTGTATATGGGTGATAATACAGTTTTCAGTTACTTTGATTACCCATATTAATATATTTTCATCTCCAAAAGTCATATAACTTCGTGCATTTTTTTTTTTCATTTTCATAATCAAAGATTTTTATATTACAGAAAGGAAAATATTGTTGTGTTTGTTTGTATATAATATATCTTGTCTGTTGACTCTCATCAATAAGATCAATAATTAAGAAAATAAAATCGAAAGGTTTATTAATTTCTGGTACTTTATTTAAGCTACACCAATAGAGGAATCTTAAAATATATTTCAAGAATTTATACTGGCCTTATATAGTGACACATAATATTACTTGTGAAAAAATAATGGAATGTGTTATAATATGCGAGTTTTTCTGTGATTGCCTAAATAAATCACAATGTCTATAGCGTTAAAAAAAGATTACAACTATTAATATACATAAATAGTAAGAAAATATAATAAGATGATTATTATATTGTGGAATCACGCATGAGAACGCGTTGTGTCACCATAATTGAAGCAACTCTAAATTAACCTTTTATTCCAATTATTCTTCCTGCTTTACGTGTAAAATATGCTTGTTAATATTTTAATATACGTAAACGTGTATTGACACGTGCAGTGATATACTATACATTCAAAACTCATTTTTTACGAAACTGATTTTATTTCTTTTTTTTATGAATATCTATGATTATGATATATAGTCAGTATTGTCCAAGATTTATAATTTTGCTTAAATATTAATATATATCGAAATTCACACCTATTGTTTTTCTTACTTCTTATTTTGTAATTGTTTTTTTATGGCGTGTGACGATTGATCTTAGAAATAAGATTAATCTGAAATTATTAGTTTTTGACGTGTATATATATATGTATATTTAAAACATACGTATAAAATTTACTTTTATATGTATAATCATATATATATTTTTATATTTTTAATAATGATTATAAAATTAAAAATATGTTATAATAATAATAATAATATATTTTTAAACAGCATTGACACACGTCAAAAATTTCTATAATTTCAACTAATTTATCTCGAAAATTTATCATCGCACGCTACAAAAAAAATAAGCTACAAAAATATGAAGTAAGAAAAAAAATAAGCATCGATACGTATCAAAAATAATGAATCGATACGTATCAATATTTAAGCAGAACTATAAATTCTAATTATTGATATATATATATATATAAATTATTGATATATATATAAATTTAGCTATATTATTATAGCTATATTTATATATATATAGCTTTCATAGATATTTGAATATCTAAAATATAATAATTATATTCAACGTATCTATCCAGTGATTTTGATTGCGATTATTGTTAATAGTATACTTAATTGCCAAAATTAAGACACTTATAAATTGCTGCGAGCAAAATGCTGCATTGAGTACGTCGTGCGCGTGTGGCGACTAGTAAAGCTAATTATGCGCATATGTACTATTAAATAAACTTTGTTGTGTTATTAACTTTAGAAAATACACATGATTTGAAACGCTTACAGTTCCAAAAGCGATAATGAATGTGTAATGCAAAATTATAACTGCATTTAATTGATGACAAAGTAGGGCAAAGCGATAAAAGGCAAATGATTGAGGCATCGATGGGATACAGCAAATTTGCAGTAACTAATCTCCGAACCGTTTTGTGTTCCATGTAGAAAGCAGCTTGAACATACTTTAAATTTCACTCCGTTCAGATAGATAAACGAAACACATTGCAATGTATATTACAAATAATATATAGTAACTATAAATACAAGTAATGTGAATGTATATTTGCGATGCGCTGTAATGCTACAATATGTTAAGAATAACATTCATTGAAATACGAACAAACATAACAAAAACACATATTTTTATAAAATAAAGAGATGAAAAATGTTCAGGTATTTCACATTTGCCTTTTTATGTAAATATTAATGTAGCTAGTATAATTTTCTATAAATATTATATATAAATATATATATATAAATATATATATATATATATATATATATATATATATGAAATGAATGTATGTATTTATGTATATGTACATGTATATATAAATACATATACATAAAGAATAATGATAAAATATATGTTATAATGTTAAAAAACAAACGAAAATGCAGTTTATGTCGGTAATTATTAATAATCAGCTCCTTATTAACATTTACATATGCAATTGTATTCGTACTATTGGGTGTAGGATGCCTTTTACATATGTACTTAGCGAGCGGAGATCTCGACAAACCATTGTAAAAGATGATAATAATAATAATAATAATATTAATTTATAAGAACTCTGTTCGTCTATTGTACAAATAATTTGGATTCGCGCAAATCTGCAAATCCATTTACTTGCAATGAAGATCTCCTTCTGTCATTAAATTTCTATATTGTATAAATAAAGCTGAATAAAAACCTGTGGGGAAAGTATCGTACTAGTTTGTACTAATTTAATTTAAAAAAAATGAATACCCAATTTCTCTCTATAAATATTTATTTCTAATTCGCAGTAATTGATATTATTGTGAAATCTTGATAATTGCTCAGTAACTGTTTGCTGATTAAATATTAATTAATCCTTTCACATCCGATTTTTTTCAGAAAAAAATATTGAAAATATTCAATTCCTAATATGAGAGATAAAAATTTAGAATGGCGTATCCAATATGTATAAGATTTCAGTATAATGAAAAAAATAACATGAAATTGGGAATACAAAAGGAATTATAAACAGAAAATTAAATTTCTATTACAGGAACCACATGTGCTTACATAATGAAAGAATATTAAAATATTTTTTTATTAGTTGAAAGATAGAAAATTTTCTGTTCCTAATTTTTTAAAGAGATATGCGGATAGAATAAAATAACGATGCAAATAATAATGAAATGTGGTTACCTTAAAATTGTAAAGTGATTTAAAATTCTAATTGTTTTTCCCCTTTTTCCTTTTCTTAATAATAAGATTCAGCGATAGAAATGTAGGGGAAAAGTTCAGGATCCACACTTTCTGAAGTGTAGACCCCGAACCTTTCCCTATCAATTACTATCCCCCCCTCCCCCCCCGCCCTGCCTGCATCGAAACCTTGTCTATTGGGCGAGATCCGACACAGAGCGAAGAGGCGGACATAATGCCCTTCAATTAAGTATTCTCTCTCTATATATTATTGTTGTAAAGCGGAAATTAATTTCTTTTATTTATATAATTAATCCGTTATAATTTATACGAATAGCTAACGCTCAGTGCGATAAAAAAAATAATATTTTGTAAAATATTTTAAAACATTCGTCGATTTAAATTCGTTAGCGGGCGTTACAGTGGCTACGTTCCGATATTCACTGCCAGTATTGAAAATATATGGTTCAGATCACGTATATTATAGATACGCAGCCAGTATCTATGATATTGTCCTCGGTTTGTTCAGCTATTCTCAGTCACTGTCAGGCATTCAGGTTCGGCGAAACCTAACTGCACCTAGCTGGAAATGACTCCAGACTCCAGAGCAGTGATGCGAATTCGAGCTCGAACACACCAGTGATTTTCCCCCTCCCCTGCACACAGAGACGCTTCGTCTATTCGTGAGCCTACGCGCCGACGCAGCACACGGATAGACGGAACGTCTCTGTGTGCAGGGGAGGGGGAAAATCACTGGTGTGTTCGAGCTCGAA